GGTCCGGGAGTATCTTCTTCAATGTAATCAGCCTGTAATCTCTCCTCGAACCTCCGATCACTGCAATTCAGTAACCAAGCCAAACTGCACTTAATTCCCTTGCTAGCCAATTTCTGATGCCTCGGCTTAATTCTTGACTCCAAACTGTAGGTGAAATACTCTGGAAATTCAAATAGGTCCTTCAATGGCCTCTGCATTTCGCTTTTGAAGAAATAGTAACTATTCTTCATCAGCGCAACACTGCATGCAAGCAGTTGGGGGCACTTAACAATCATCCTCGCAACATCCTCATCGGGTATGGCTCGTCCCCTGAGGAAATCCACCGGCTTCATAATAACATTCTGACTGAGACTAATAATTTGGGGCATCTTCTCCAAAGCCCGAGCAAATCCTTCGGGGTCTATCTTAAGCTTCAAGTTGAAAAAAAATTGCTGAGTCGACAACTTAGCCTTGACAGGCAACCCAAGAATCTGCGGATACTGAGCAATCAACGAAGGCAGGGCCTCCCGCCTCACACCAAAGCTGAGTAGAGTGTCAACGTTGGGCTTCACGGTCTCCTCGAGATCATACCCAAGAATATATGTCCTCTTCTCAAGCATTCTGGCAAGAATCCTCTTGGGTACTCCCAAAGATATTATGTATTCCACTAGAGGTTTGATGGTGGTTCCAACCCGCATGCCCAGAAAATAAGAGTATTGAGTCACCATGGGGCCGATGTCCCTCGGCCAGACACCGATACTGACGAGGTAGGCCACCGAAGTGCTCATGGTGCCCTCCAGCTTGAAGCCGAGCAGTTCTGGGTAGCGCTGGAGGACGTAAGGGATATCATGGCGCTCAACATCGAGGCCTCGTAGGAACTTGATTACGGGTGCAAGCTCGACGACGACGCTAGCATGGAGAACCTGGGGGTAGTTTCGAACGAATTCTCCTAGCTTGGAGCGGCTGATGCCAATCTTTTCGAGGTAGCCCAGGACAGGGATCATGTTCTTACGGACGCTGCATGCCAGCATAAGGGGATATTCGTTCATGTCGTCCACTGTAAGGCCGAGGCGCTGGAGAAACTCCACGCGGCCGCGCATGACTTCAACGGTGGAAGGGAGCTCAAGATGTTCGAGCTCGTTGGGGATGACGCCTATGGATTTGAGATAGTCGGAAATAATGACGCGTGAGACAAGTCGCTCCTTGCGGCCCTGGACCACCCCCCAGGTGACGGAGGGCATCTCGTACTCCGGGAATTTAGAGGACTGGGTGGAGAAAGCAGAGGTTTTGGGGCAAGTGCAATAGCAAGGGTTAGGGTTTTGGAGGCGTTGGGGTGAGAGTGAGGGATCGAGGAGAAAGGCACTGCGGGAGAAATAATGCGTTGGGATTAGAAATGGAGGTTTCCGCCGGGCGAGCAGAATCATGTTGGTGAAACCCTAGCGGCGATGAGAAGTGTTGGTCAGCTTCTGCG